AACCCAAGGGCAACATAGGATGGAAACGTAAAGTAAAGGTAAAAGTAAATACTTTACTCAAACATACGTATAATTTGTATCCAGACTGCACTTCGAAGGCTCTCCGTTCTTTTCGCATATGCCCTCCCAGACTTCATCTTCTTCACACCAACGACAGTAGATTTTCTTCTGTTCGACGAAGTAGTACTGATCATCCACCTGTCGCAGTGTTGTGTTGAACTGGTTTTTCAGCACCCAGCCATAAGTTACAGAAGACAGTATATCTACGGCACAAATCACAATTAGCACCGATGAATCCATCTCGTAGAGAGGAAATGCCCAATTTTAGTTTTGGCTCAACAACCCCTACTTTAGAAGTAAACAGGGTAGTATAGCCAGTGCCAGTCCTGATTGTATGACAGAAGTCAGCTCCAACTACGATGAAATTGAAGATCTTTGTTCCGTCACAAGAAACCTGGCGAAAGATAAAAACAAACAATGTGCTTATTCATTTTTCAAGGCTTAAACTGAAAACGGCTTGTCAAAAAACTGTTTGCAGGGAAACATTTTCACTTCTCTCTGTTGTGTCAGATTTAGCTCTTGGGAAAATTTATGTCGTGGGGGGCGTCAACGGCGAGTAGGCACGACGATTACAAAGCCGAAAAGAACCCGACGATTACGTTTTCGCTTGACCTATCTTTAACTTTAAAAGAAAAACGTTTCGGTTTTTCTTTTTTTTTTTCTTTTTTTTTTGGTGCAATGCACCAATGTACTTATTCCAACTTTTGGTATTGAACATGTATTAATTAAAATTTGTCTTAAAACCAAGAAAAAAAAATTATTCGGATCCAACCTCGAAGAAGCAGTGGCTTTTGTATGTTTTTTGTTGTTGTTGTTTGTTTTGTGTGTGTGTGGGGGGGGGGGGTTTTTTGAAGGTGTTGTTTTTTGTTGTTGTTTTTGTTTACTTTCGTTTTGGGTTCTTTTTGGCGGGGTGGTGTATATCTAATTGACCTTAAATATTTGCTGAATTTTTTTTATCCATTTTACCATGAGCCGGATTTAAATAAGGATAAACGAAATATTATAAACATTTAATTTTATTGTGAACGAAAACTAAGACGATGACGGTATGATAAGCACTGAGTAAAGGGCAACGACTTTTGTTTATGTTGTGAGCTAGGGCGGAGCGTCTACATAGTCAAAAATCACTGCTTACCTTCCTTGATTTGGGAACATCGTTTCAGGAAGATTCACCGACAGACCTACGCTTTAGAAATATTTTTAAAGACGTTCATGAAACCAACACTGAGCAGTGTGTACAACACTCGAAACTTTCATTGTCGCATAAATACCCTGTTCAGCCCTTTTGAGTTTGAGCCACTCTCATAAGCAGACACAAGAACTGATGGTGCAAGCTATCAAATAGACTTACACTGGCAGTCTTCCTAAAAAAAAGTCTTATGGCTGCTCTAGGTGCTTGTTGTTGTAGTTAGCTTTTTTTTTCCCTTGACTTTTTTACCAGCTCATGGCAAGATAATGTCATCGGTCCCTGGCCACAAAAGGCTAAATGAAGGCAACCAAATTTGAAACAAAATTGATGATACCGTTACATTTGTAGTATAATTGTCATCTTGCTTCTTTGCCTTCTATTTGTGTATTGACATCTTTAGTTAGATTTACTGTTGAAAATTCTTGAGACCATTATGCGCACTGCACGTTTAAAAGTTATAATAACGTTTTGTCCAAGATGATACATTTTGTAATACAATTAAATTCGATATCTATTATTTCGGCGGGTGAACCCACACAACATTATTATTGAATTCCGGATTTGCTTTCATTTCAGCTCAGTCCATGTCAGAGGCGAAGCGTCTATATAATCAAATAATCACTGCTTCCCTTCCTAATTTTGAAACATTGTCGCAGTCAAATTCACCCATGGACGTAAACCTCATAAATTAAATGTAAAAAGACGTTCATAATCAACAATGAACAATAGACTATGCCTAACCTTCAAAACCGTTTCATTGCCACAGAAATAGCCTGTTCGCCCCTATCGGGCCACTCCATAAGCAGTCACAAGCTTTGATTAAGTAAGCTTAAAGTGAGGCTGGAAGAGTCAACAAATAGACTTGAAGGGGACATGTGCATAGCAGTCAGAACTGTTTCATTGTCGCATATACCCTGTTCACCCCTTTCAGGCCACAGTTATAAGCACCCAGGCGCGCTGATTATTTAAGCGAACTATTACACTGGTCGAGTCTACCTCACAGATGTGAGGGGAACTAACTCCTAATAATCCTTTGACTCCAGCTACTAAACTGCTCGTGCTTGGTTTTTTTCCTCGACGTTTTAACGTCCTATAATCAGATCGTTACCTCGATTATGACACCGGCTCCTGGCCGCGAAAAGCTAGACAAAAAACAGCCCAATGTGAAATAAAAAATTAATAATTGGCATGCTCTACCAAAGTGTTTCGGCTCTCTGGTATAACATGCCATTGTAGTGCTGACATCTCTGCTTCTTTCCTTGGTGTTCGTGTGTTCAAATCTAAAGTTAAATTTAAGGTTAGTTAGAATAAATATTTAATTAAATATTTTCCCGATTATTTTAGCGGTTGAACAAGCATACAACATGAATTCAGGATTTGTTATCATTCACAACTCAGAGTTGCCACCTTCAGAGCCAGTAAGATTCTTGTGACTTGTGTGAGTGTGATATCTCCAGGCCCTATCTGGTCCCATTTCACTTTGACTACCCTGTCAAACAAGTCAGCCTTCGCCCCTGGTCCATGTTGAATAAAAAGCTCTGTTTAAAATTATGTTCCCATTGTGGGAAAGCTTTTCGTGTGCGGCCTCATCTCTATTGGATTCTTTATCTCATTTTGATTGCCCTGTCAAACAAGCCAGCCTTCGCCCCTGGTTGTGTCCTAGATATGGGTTTTACCACGAAAGGCATTGTTTCATCAAGTCCAAAATCTGCGACAGACATCGGCATTCATGATTGTCAATTTATTCCTTTGCTCTGATGGTCTCAAAAAAGCTACATTATCCTGATCGTTCCCCGTCACCCATCCCTCCAAGTAAGTTGGTCTGGGTCTACCCTTACCTTGTTTACATATACCTTCAGTTTTGCCAGTGAGAGCTAGATGTTCAAAGCCTTTTTATCTATTCTAATGTCCCAAAAACTGCATCTGGTTTTTCCTGAGTATTTTTTTAAACCAGCAAGCGACTCACGCGGGCTTCTTCGAACGTACTAGATCTGCCTCGTAATTCGATTTCTTTTCCTTCCAAGAAGTTCTTAACAGTCACATTAGAACACACATTTCTGTTACGTTTACTGGCTGGATACCATAATAATATTGTGAAAGCATCAGTGTGTAGTAAGCAAGCAAAATTTAATCCACCACTAATAAAGCAGAAAATAAAAAACTCTCGAACAAAGAGAAGTGCCCTTAGATATGAGTATATTATGACGCTGCAATTTCGAATATAGATCTAAAATTACCTGAAAAGGTATTATTATGAAAGGTTATGTTTGTTTCAAAATTTCAAAGTCCAACTTAAAGAAAACCTGGAGTTATTCGAACAACAAAAAAACGTTATATTTTTCAAATGAACGACTTATACTTATACCCCTACAAAAGAATAATAGATTTGTCTGGAGACAAGTACGGATTTTTAAAAATCAGAACGCAACAAGATAAAATTTATTTCATCGAGCCTTGGACGTCGACTCTGATTTGGATAATTATCTGGAATTAAGTATTACGCTTAATGAAAGTTAATGATCATGTCATCAATGTAAAGCCCTCGGAGCGTATACTCATGTGGGATGGAATCTATTATTATTATTGTTGTTATTATTATCATTATTATTATTATTATTATTATTATTATTATTATTATTATAATTATTATTATTATTATTATTATTATTATTATTATAATTATTATTATTATTATCATTATTATTATTATTATTATTATTATTATTATTATTATTATTATTATTATTATTATTATAAAGATCAAGATTTACGAAGCATGTGTCCTCAGCACACTCTTTTATGGATCTGAAACATGGACCTTGTACAGCAGGCAAGACAGGCTCTTCGACATTTTCCTTCTCAGATGCTGCTGCAAGATCTTAGGCATGTGGCGTAACAAGGTCACCAATGTTGAAGTGTTGGCCGGGCAAACCTCCAAAGCGTGTTTTTAAAAAGATTGAGATGACTGGGTCATGTCAAGAGAATGGACGACAACCGCATTCCAAAGCAACTTCTGTATAGAGAACTTTCCCAGTGAAAGAGACCAAGAGGAAGGTCAAAAATTGATTTACTAAGACAACTGCAAAAACAGCTAATCTAAGTTCGGAGTAGACGTTAGCATTTGGGAAGAAATTGCTGAGGACATGAAAAACATGGGAGGAGACTGATGAAGGAAAGAACAATTGTTTTGCGACAGTTTTAGTAGCTATAACTGTAATCTGCAGGAACTAATACGCAGTTTGTCTCCGAATATCTTCTGCCAAAAAATAGAGCTTCAATCCACCTCACTGACATGCAACCACTGCGACAGAATCTGTGCTTCAAACACATGAAAAATTAGCCACGAAAGAAGCTGCAGGAAGACAACCTTGAGACCATCTTAATCGACCGTCTGGATAGACGAAAAAGAGCCATACACAATATTATTATCATCATCATCATCACCATCATCATCATCATCATCATCATCCTCCTCCTCATCATCATCATCATCATCATCATCATCTTTATTTTTTGGTAAGCAGGGTAGAAGGGAGAGTCTTGTTTTAATTTTAGACAAAAATAAAATAACAATATAAAATGTTTAAATTTGTTTAATAGCTCAACGTTTCGCCCTGTGGGCTTCCTCAGGAGCAACTGAGAGAAAAACTAAACGAGCGCTGTATATTAGCAGGGAAATGGGACTAACAAAGGGGGTCTTAGGGTTACGTGTGGTTACAGGCATCATCATCTTTATCATTATCATCATCATCATTGTAAACAGCAAGGAATAAAAAAGGGCTTGTAGAATTTCCTAATTTTATAAAGTTAAAACGTTTCGCCCGGTACAGGGCTTCGTCAAGAACATACAAAAAAATATGTAATATCTAATGACTACAAGCTATAGTAACGAAAGTGCGCGCTTCTACGTCATAATGCCAAAAGGTGCGATAAATACAAATCGGGAAGACCAGAAAAAAGGGGAGGCTATGGCAAGAAGTGGTATGATATAAAATATTATGTAGGCCTACGTCAAATCATATATTATAATTATCATTGATATTAACTTAAAGGTAATTAGTAGTAGTAGTAGCAGCAGCAGCAGCAGCAGCAGTAGCAGCAGCAACAGTAACAACAGCAGCAACAGCAGCAGTAGTAGTGGAAGTCGCAGTAGTAGTAGTAGTAGTAGTAGTAGTAGTAGTAGTAGTAGTAGTAGTAGTAGTACATGTACAATGTATTTATAATCTCTTTAACCCTGACCCTAGAAAGGTTACTGCGAGGACATGTGGAGTGTTCGAAGAAATTGATCGATTATAATCAAGCGGTGCACACAGAAGACGTGCCTCTATTTTCAGAGAACGAGCAAGAACACACTACACAGGCCTAAGGTAGACGGGTAGATCTATAAATAATGTGTAAAGATTGGTGGGTGCCGTGCTGTCGGCCGAAGCGTGATAAAGGCGACCTGCTTTTGCTGCATGTAAGTTCAGTTGTGGATAAAAACAAGACGGATCAAAAGCGAGGCACGTGCCCCATGTGTGTTGAATTCCTTTCCTCTGAGTTGGTTGGTCTAGTTTCACAACAAACTAATACATTCCTCTCGATTAGTTGTTGTTGTTGTAGTTGCTGCTGCTGCTGCTGCTGCTGCTGCTGCTGCTGCTGCTGCTGGTGGTGGTGGTGTTCGTAGTAGTAGTAAAAGTAGTAGTAGTAGTAGTAGTAGTAGTAGTAGTAGTAGTAGTAGTAGTAGTAGTAGTAGTAGTAGTAGTAGTAGTAGTAGTAGTAGTAGTAGTAGTAGTAGTAGTAGTAGTAGTAGTAGTGTAAAGCGCATAGAGCCTGCTGTTGAGCGGGGATATGCGCTATACAAATGCTATCTATTATTAGTAGTAGTAGTAGTAGTAGTATCAGGACATTATTTTCTGCCATTATTAATGTAAGCGAATTATTGTTGTTTTATCTTATAATAATAATCATCATCATCGTTTATTATATCAGTACATGTATTTGGTCTACATTGTATGCAAAAAAATCTTATTTCCTTTTTGTAAGCGGATAATTGTTGTTTCATGGTTTCTTGTGATTATTTACTGTGTGTTTGTGTTCATATTATTACTTTTTATTTGCTTGATTACTCTTTCTTGTAGTGTGTCTGATATCTATTGTCATTGTTATTACTTTGCAGATATGACGGATGCCGCTGGTAGGTCCTACTTCTTTACTTTTCCGCTGTTGCTTCTGTCTGTCGGTCTTACTATTTTCCCAGCACTAAATGACCTGTATTGTGACTATGTGCTTCTATTTACTTAAACAAACAAACAGATTTGACTTTGTACGATTCAGGTGCGTGAGTGCACAATATAAAAAGATTAAGACAAACAGAAAATTAGCGTAACTTCTATGCCTAATCCTTTCAAGACATCCTAGAGGAGGTACACAACACCTGGGCCCTGCTCCTTGAATGGAGTCTCCTCTAAATCAGTTTTATTTTTCGCCACCCTATCCTCTTAGAATCTATCTAAAGAGGCTGACAGACCACATGGGAGTGCTTCTAGTTCTGTGACAGTTTGAACACCGCACTTTTTAAAATGGAAATAAGTTATTATTTATTTGCATGCATGTTCAGAGACAATAGGTCTATACATTTGTTGTTGGGTTTTTTTAAACAAATGTTCATGAATCTTTTATTGAGGTAGTATTAAAGTTTGCAAAAATGGTGGAGTTAGATTTTTTTAGTAGAGGTTTTACGACGCTCGCAACTGCATTAGGTCATATGAGCGCCAGAAGATTTGAGGTGTTACAAGAGAGTAACAAACGTTAAAAAGAAGAAGGGGAGATAAGGACGATAGTTTTCTATCTATATAGGAAAGAAGGAGCAAACCACACCAGAGCACCCGCCAACCACCCACATGGTGGAGTTATTCTAAAAGTATGTAGAAAAAACGAGTTTTTAGAAAACGGGCGATCGATAAAGAAAAATAAAGATTGACTTTATTAGGAAATGGTGGTGACCAACACGCCAGGTATGTGAAACAATAAAGCTTATGGGATTATTATGCCATGAAATAGTTTTTTGTTTTTTAAAAGCTGAAAAGCCAAAAAAAGCCAAAAATGCCTACATCTCAAATCCATAATTTTGAACTGAATCGGCCCCTGAACTGAACCCCCCCCCCCCCCCCCTAAAAGATAGACATTGAATGGATATATATTAGACGTACACATGAGAGAAAGAGAGGGATTGTGAGAGACAGAGAGACAGAGACAGAGAGAGGGGGTGGAGGGGGAGAGAGGGGGAGAGAGAGGGGGGGGGGAGAGAAAGAGAAAGAGAGAGAGGGGGGGGAGAGAATGAGTGAAAAGGAGAAAGAGAGAGAGGGGAGAGAGAGAGAGAGAGAGAGAGAGAGAGAGAGAGAGAGACAGACAGACAGACAGACAGACAGACAGACAGACAGACAGACAGACAGACAGACAGACAGACAGACAGACAGACAGACAGACAGACAGACAGACAGACAGACAAATAGAGTGAGAGAGGGAGGGCGTCTATATTTGTTTGAGAGTGTGTATGTGTGTGTGTGTGTGTGTGTGTGTGTGTGTGTGTGTGTGTGTGTGTGTGTGTGTGTGTGTGTGTGTATGTGTGTGAGTGTGTTTGCTCGGGGGGGGGGGGAAGTTTGAGTGATCGGGCTTCAGCCTCTTGCCTAAACAAACAAATAAGTGTAGGCTATCTGTATAAAATGTGTTCCATTTATTCATTTAAAATTTACCTGTGAACGTTGTAAAACGCTTAGAGCTGCACTTGCATTATTGTTATCAAAGTCGTTTCATCAAATCCTCACAAAATATTTTGATTTAGATCTAACTGCGGTGTATGAAAAAGAAACGAGCAATGGTACACAAAACCAATGGGTGGTAGCCTAACTTTATTTGCTTGAGTGTTGCATCAGAATTGTAGAATCATTGTTCACTATATTGTGATCTCAAATTCATCATAACGATCTAATCTAATTACTTGCAAAACTTTATACATTTATAATACATGTTCATACTTACGTCGAAGCAACTCCTGTAACGAACGATTCATGATGTCGTAACAAAAAAGATGTCTTCGCTGGCTGACGTTATACGAGGAATAACACAATCACTATCAGTAATTCCCGGTTCCTATTTTGGTCCTACCAATTTTAGTCCGAGAGCCGGGTCTATGTACAAGTACTAGAACCTTGATTTTCATCATAAAGTGTTTTCTTTGGTGATTCTGCTTCCTTGGGGTCTCTAGACTTCATATCAGCCGGGGGCCAACTTGTGTCTTAAAGGCATTTTTTCTGCTAATTGAAATACACCAACCCGTTTCATGCAAGAATGATTACCGAGCGACTCATGGACGAGTCGACCAAGACACGTTTGGGTGTACTTACGCTAACAGCTCCTCTCGCCGTGATGTCACGGGCTACACCGAATGGTGCACAGCACGGCCTGCTGTCCCCCTCTTGATATGGACTCTGTTAACAAAGCAAGGACACGTTGGCAGACAATGCTGCGTCACTGTCACACCACACCTCCGTGTGCTAAAAACCAAAGTTCGACAGAGTTGAGCGTCATGCACAGTATCATCACAGAAGGTCGCACGATGTGCTTATGGCCTGAAAACAAAATACACGAGTTCCTTTCTTCAACACCGGACCCATAAACATAAACACAGAAGTACGGGTAGAATTCTGCTAAGTTACAACTTACTTGAGTCTTGGAGTAATAGATCTAGATGGTAGTTGATGTTGGGGGGGCCCCACCTGCTGATCGTCTGCCAGTTCTTGGTTAGCTTCATTTCGGCTTCAGTGAATGAGTGACACAAAGTACAAAGTTAGCCATGGGCAGGTATCGATACCAGGTACTTGATACTTTGATACCTATTGGTATCGGTATCGGTACCGATACCTGCTCTAAACATCGATACCTATGTGTTATTTATCCCAGGGCTGCCAAAGCAAGTGACTTGGGCCTTGAAAAATGTTTTGTTTATCAAAACTGATAAGTTTTCGTAGGGGGCAAGCGTCTTAAATTAATCTAGTGATTTAGTTTTCGTAGGGGGCAAGCGCCTTAAATTAATCTAGTGATTTTTTAACACAAAGAGAGAAGTTTTTCATTAAATCTATCTAGTGATTTAGCAAAATCTTCAGTGACAACCCTGATTTATTCTCATTGGTTTAATTTAAAGTTGCTAAAAATCTGGTAAATTGAATTGCCATTTTAGAACTCTTGTGTTTTTATTTTCCAATACTAACATTTTCTGCAAAGTTGACTTTCCTCCAATACTTCACTTAATTTTTTATTTTATTCTCATATTTGGGCATTTCTCTCTCTCTCTCTCTCTCTCTCTCTCTCTCTCTCTCTCTCTCTCTCTCTCTTTTACAAATAATTTTTGTTTGAGTCTCAGCTAAATAGTCAAAACTTGTCTAGACACGATTACCTAAATACTTGGAAAAGTATAGTTGTATTTTTGTCTTTACTTATTATCCCCGGCGTATGTTACCAATCGGTATCGATACCTTGAAAAAGTACTAGGTATTGACATCGATACCTAAATTGTGGTATCGGCCCATCACTAGTACAAAGATTACCCGCGGCTTGCACAAAATCACACGAGGTCTCAGTCACGTGATATGTCCTTTAGGCCTACGTCACATTAACTATTATCAAGGTGTGTTCATGCTACATGTCCTTTTTTAAGGTGCGCTTACACCACATCTCCCCCTCTTTATATGAGGAAATAACAAATTAGTTTTCCTCCAAGGAACAAAACACTATACGCATCATCTGATATTTACACTAGGAAGAGAGAGTACTATAAATCCAGTATTTCTCTCGGCTTGACCAGTCTTCCACTTCTAGTGACAACTGGCTTTGTCTCCGTCTCATTTGAAAGGCCACTTGAAGGATCAATTCGAATTATCCCCTGCTCAGTTTGAGGTTGTCCTAACATTGGTAAATTATTACTATTTCTGGGTATAGTAGGCGGTATAGACGGATGTTTATCCTATCTTTTTCTAACCTGTTCTCAGTTTCTCCGTGTAACATGTCCAGAAGAAGTTTGGACGTATACAGGTCTTGGAATTACTTTTGCTTCCTCCAGCCTAGGAGGTCATGGTTCTAACTCTGGTAGATTTTTCACTGTATGCCTTCTATCAAAATTCTCCATGATTTTTCTTTTTATAATAGCACCTTTCCTCCGGAATTTCGTATCGTTCTGTCTTTCCTGCAAGGATGGTACTCTAGTTCTTAGTTTCAGGTTCATCAGCAGTTCAGTTGGACTCTGTCCCTGGGCCAAAGGTGTGGCTCTGTAATTTAAAAGGGCCAGAAAAGGGTCCTGTTCCTTCTTGAGCATGTTTTTAAAAGTTTGAACTGTTCTCTCCGATTCTTCATGAGCCAACTGATGATGAGGGCTACTTGTAACATGTTTGAATCCATAATAGGAAGTGAAATTACAAAACTCTGCTGAAGTATACTGCGTCCCATTGTCAGTAAGTACTGTCCTGTGAATACCCATGCTTGCAAAGATAGCCTTGAAACTGTTGATAACAGTCTTGGAAGTAAGAGAAGTAAGGTGTGAAATCTCAATCCATCTGGAATAATAATCAGCAGATAATGTTCTCCCTGCCATTCAAACAGGTCACGTCCTACTTTTCCCCAAGGGTGATCTGGAGTTGGAGTTGGTACTAGCGGTTGAGGAGGCAAATCTCTGTGTTTTTCACATTCAGGGCAGTTGCTCACTGCACTAGGTTTTCAATATCCTTAGACATCCCAGGCCACCAAATACAGGAGCGTGCTAAAGCCCTACACTTGACTATACGGCACCTTGATGCCCTGGTGGATTCTCTGAAGCATGTCTTGCCTCGGTGAAGATGGAATGACTAACCTGCATCCGTGCAAGAGAATCCCTTGCTCCACCGCCAAACAATGACGCTCTGCATAGTATAATTTTAATATTCCATGCGTCCTTTGAGGCCAAAGGCCTTGAGTGAATTGAATCATCTCTCGGCATTCCTTGTCGCGGTGCTGTGCACGTCGAACTTCTTCCAATCTTTAACCTGATATGGGGATCGACTGAAATATTGTACTGACTCCAAGTGTTTCCTCTTCTAATTTATTGTTTTTCAAAGGAGACCTGGATAACGAGTCTGCCATAACTAGATCCTTACCAGCAACATATTCAATGTCGTAAGTAAATCTCAACATCCCCCTCCTGAATCTCTGCATTTTTGGAGTAAGGAGATCAAAGCCTTTTGCTTTCATCAGCGACAGTAGTGGTTTGTGGTCTGTCTCGATTGCAAACTTATGGAGACCCACTAAAAATTCTTAAAATTTTACACAACACCATGTCATAGCCACAGCTTCCTTTTCAATCTGTGCATACCTAGTTTCGGTATCCGTGAGAGATCTAGATGAGTAGAAAACTGGCTACCAGCCGTCCTGGTCTTTCTGCAGTAGAACTCTTCCAATTCCAAAAGAAGACGCATCTGCAGACACTCTTATTGGCTTGTTTGGGTTGTAATGTTGTAGTACTGGTGTAGAACTAAGTAGAACCTTTACTTCTTCAAAAGCTTTCACTTGTTCTGTCCCCCATGTCCATTCGCTGTCTTTCTTAAGCAGGTCTAGAGATGTTGTCACATCTGCTAGCATAGGTGCAAATTTGCTGACATGGATTACCATTCCCAAAATTCTTCTTAGCTCTGGGACATTTTCTGGTGCCTCAAGCCTGGCAATGGCCTCGACTTTCTCTGGGTCACTGCTGACACCGTTTGCACTGACAATATGTCCAAGAAATTTCACTTTCTTTGTTGAAAACTCACACTTCTCATTTAGTGTAATTCCAGCTTTGTTCATCCGATCCAAGACCAACGTCAGTCTTTCTTCGTGTTCTTTTTTTTATCTCTTCCTCCTACAAAACATCAGCAATGTCACATATCACACCTGGTATTCCTGCCACAATGTTTGACATTTCTGTATGGAATATTTCTGGACCAGAATTGATCCCAAAGGGCAGTCTTCAGTAACAAAATCTCCCAAAAGGCTTATCCTGCTTGCTGAAAACTGTAGCTCCATTCAACTGTGCCAATAACTGGTCCGTAGTAGGAAGAGGGTAGTTCTCTCTTTTAACACTTTCATTTAGTTTAGTGAAATCACAACATAGCCTGACTTTTCCTGATGGCTTGAGAACAGCTACTATAGGAGCACACAAATCAGTAGGTTTGGTAACAGGTCTGATGATTCCTTGATCCTGTAGAGATTTTAGTTCTTCTTCAACTTTATCTTTTGTTTGTGTTTTGTTTTGTATAGGGTTTTACGGCGCTCGCAACTGCATAAGGTCATATGAACGCGCAAAACACAAGTTCGTTGCATTCGCAACAGTTCACTGCACGGTTGGTCAACTATCATACTTTAAAATGCTAAAATATTTAAAATTCTGTGTAAATATATTTTCAATTTAAGACAACTGTTATAAATAACGATAAAATTTTATCAATATTGTTTGATTTTATCATTTGCCATAAAGGCCAATGACCTTCATAAAATTCAAAATTCTGTTGGGACCAACGACGGAAAAAATGTCTTGCAATTTCTTGCATAATTTATAATATTTCCTTCGGATCTCTCCAAATCTAGACATTCGGTTAAGATGTGTCTAATGGTAAAATCTGTGTCGCATCCGACACAGAACAGCTTCTCATCTCCCTGTAGGAGGTATTTGTGGGTCAGGGCAGTGTGTCCGATGCGCAATCGAGTAAAAATGACTTCGTCTCTTTTGGAGAGGTCCGAAGGATTTCGCTGTTCCAGTCTGGATTTTATAATATACAGTTTATTATTTTTCTGTTTTTCCCAGTGGCTCTCCCACAGACTGGAGGTGTACTTTTTTACTTTATTTTTAAAGTCAGTCTGTGGGAGAGCGTTCGTCGTTAATCCCAACAGAAGGGATGAGGATTTCTTCGCCAGCTCGTTTCCTCGGATGCCCACATGATGTTTTTTCCTGTTTCAGATAGGGTGTGAATTTTCTGTTGTAGCCTAACTATTTTTGGGTGTAGGAGTGTGTAGTTTGTGAGTGAGGTGATGCAAGACAGAGAGTCAGAGAGGATAAGGAAAGATTTGTTAGGAGAGTTTTCTACGGAGTCCAGTGTCGTGTCAATGGCAGTGGCCTCTGCAGAGAAAATGGAGGCTTCGGGATGGAGTCTCCTCTGGTGTGTACTGTTGGAAGATAGGGCTGCGGCGCCCACATTATTGTCTTTTTCGGAGCCATCCGTGAAGATTTGCTCCGCACCGGGGTATTTATCTATTAGTTTTTTGTATTCTTCTTTAAAAATTTTGGTGTTCGTGCTTTCTTTGTTGTGTATGGTTAGCTG